TGGTAACCCTTTAATACTCGCGCGAAGTCTCCTGAACCGAACCAAAGCCCCCCAGCCCTCGGATCTTATGTGGTGACGCCCGCACTGAGTTGTCTCTCTGCATCTGTACAGCTGGATCTTGCGTTTTTATGGTCGCATCGTTCCTCGGAACAAACTCATTATGAAATTTAATGACTTGTCGCATATCTTGTAAAGTTTAATCTGCTACATGCTCTCTCGAGTAACTCCCTTTTAGTTTTCCGAAGTGGATGTTCGCGGAGTAAAGCGTCATTGTAATGATTTTTGTAAGCAATCTTATGTGCGACATAAACTTTTCTGAGATAAATGTGTATAATTGCTGTAATTATAGGGTAATGGTCCGGTGAAAAGAATAGCGAACGTTAGCCGAAAACCGCTCAACTGAAGAGCTCAGTTTGAGGTCTTAATTTATATAAATTATAATGTCACTAATCAGTTATGACTTATTTGAGTCACTGTCGTATTGATTTTTTCTAAAAAGATGTTTATCGTACTCTGTTTAATCTACTCGCATACTTTGACGGCTAAAGAACGCTCTTTCGGCTGTTAAATGAGTCCGTATGAGGGTTTAATTATTTTACGTATTGGACATTATTTGGAATGTACGTAGAGACTACAGAAATTCTTTGTTATAGTTGAAGTATTTATATAAAATCTAAAACTTCTTGACGATGGTGAAGAGTCAATTGAATAAAAAATTTTCTTGGATATTATCCATCGTCTAGTAAATATAAAACGTAAAACGACGTTTCGGAGATGGGACCCGGAGATAGGGATTAAGCTCTATCTAGTGGGCCCAACTGTGTAGGAACCTGAAGACGTAGATAGAGTCCCATCTCCGAAACGTCGTTCTTACGTTTTATATTTACTAGACGATGGATAATATCCAAGGAAATTTTTATTCAATTGAAGCATTTAACTGAATTATTCTGATTTTTCTGCATGTGGGCTACAGAATGGAGGCTTAGACCACTTTTACTCTTTTCTTCCTACGTGTCGTTTCTACTTGATGTAATCGACTCGCGAGTTACATTATTAGCGTTAGGCCTGTGTCCTGCGCTGACCGACTTGGAAGTTGAGGCCACCGGATTCTTCATGTCTGTGTCGCGCTGTAAAACGCCAAAGTTTGTTCTCCCACGAAACGCGCGATGAATGTTTTATTGTAATTATGTTCTGTTTTAATTGCCAGCATGTGTTGTTATAGTTCATCTGGTAAGCAAATGTAGAACGATTCTCACAACCTTTATAAGAGGCTCGATTTGATTGTACGCAAATTATTATTGCATTTTTATTTGTATATTTTTATTTGAATCAAAATACACCAAGTATTTGTCTGTCATAAGTTGATATAATTGCGTAATATTGTGAATTAGAATTTTAATTATTCGTGTTTTTTCCGTCTAATCACAATTGTATATAAATAAAATTTATACATAAGATATTAAAATATCATTTACATATTTGGTACAACTTTTTACTACATGTTTCGGTTATATTGAACCATCTTCAGGTGTAAAGTAAATGATATTTTAATATCTTATGTATAAATTTTATTTATATACAATTGTGATTAGACGGAAAAAACACGAATAATTAAGTATTTGTCTGTAAATGGACGTAATTATATGAAATTGACTTACGAATATGATGATATTAACTCATTCTTACAGAAGCTGAGACGAATTTTACAAGTGACATTTTACAGGTTCTCACTTATAAAAGTATAAAGATGGTTGTCGTTTAGGTTTATGTGCGGTGTAGTCTACCGACGTTACAGAGGTGTTTTTTTCCACCATCATCAGGGCGATGAGTCATCGCTGTGATGATGACGCAACCCTCCAAATGGGTTTTCTTTTCTGTGACCTGACATGTGCATTCATATTGATCATGCACATTAAAATAATCTTACGTTGATATTGGTATTAATTTTATTAATATTAACTTGGCATTAGGGTTTTAGGTTTTATCAGAGATCTTAAGTGAGCCCATTGTCTCCCATGTTTAACATTTATTCCTTCAAATACGCCTTTGGTTTAAGTGAAAGGCGTGTTTCAATATGCTCAGCTAATTTATATGTTCTTCGGAATGCCGTCTCCATGGTAATTGTATTTTATACGCGAGTAGCTCGATTGCAGTTTTATTTATCTCTGAATTTAGAAGATAATATGTAATTTTGACCCTTGTAATGAGCTGTGGGTTTGAGATGATCCGTCAGACATTTTGTAGCGCCTTGTTAATACAGGGTTTGCCACAGTAACCGACCAGGAACGCCTATGACCTCTGCACACTTCCGTTACCAGAGATAAGTCCGATTTCCGTCGCAGAGATTTCTTTCCTCGTTTCTAACTGCCCGTGTGACATCTCGCACTTACCGGTCCAGTAGAATAATTTCCTCTGCAGGCTATAATTAGCGTTTGAGAAATTTCTTCACACGTTCCTCGCATAACTGGAAGATTTTTTTAATGCCAACGACGTTTAGGTACACGTGCTGTTTATCATAATATTTAATTTCGTCGTAGTTTTAGTTTTTAGGGTAATTCGACACTGTAAAACCTGTCTGTATTTCTGAATCGCTGTTGTTTTATGATCCCGTATGAAATACTGCGTCAGATCAAAGAATGCAGTATATTGATTAATTAAATCTGCATGTAACCTACTCGTTTCTAATGTTTTATATGAATCTAACGTGTAGACGTGTTGGAAAAATTTGT